TCTCTCTCTCTCTCTATATATATATATACACACACACACACACACATATACATACATACATACATACATACACGTGGCTAATTTTCCAATTATGTAAATAGTCTCTACCAAAATTTCATTGTAACAATAAATTAAGAAAGGTGAATTTCCATTTTCATCTCAAACTCTTTCAGAGAAACCTATTTTACCTGAAACCATCAACGGTGGAAATAAAAACAAATTATGAATTCTAACCACAGCAAGAATTTGTTTTTTTGAAACTTAAATTTTTATTTTAAAGTCACCCTAACACTTATAGGAAAGGTGTTTAAAAGCTCAGCAAAAATAAAAATGTAGGTAGAAAAGGTAGGAGTACTTTGGTTTATTCAATGTATATGTTTTTCATTATTTATTTTATATTAGAAGTAAACATATTATATTAAGTCACATCCTAAGCAAAGGCAAAAAGTTAGATACAAAACGGCTTACAATAAAAACTTAACTTAAAAAGCAAGGATTTCCTTAGTTAAGGCATTCAATCCCTCTCTTACCTTCTTATGTCCAAATATATAGGCTTAAAATAGTGTATCAACCAACATCAACTGCAATACTTATTGGAAACTGCCAACTGATAATAACTATGTAAATTAATTTGTTGTGTACTGATATTTAAAAGGACTCAAAACTTTTTAACTGAACAAATAACTTATGTACCACAGTTTATTTCCCATTACATTATATTTTTATTTCATTCTTCCAGCAACAGGAGGCCGAGCGGTTAAGACGTCCACTGTAATCCAAAAGAGTGAATTTGAGTCTTGCTCCAGAGTCATTCTGAAGGCTACCCACAGTTGACCTAGCTGTAAACAGGTACCTGGTTGTTCAGACTGGATTCTCAAAGGTGGGTGGATGTGATGCTAGCCACATGATTCTCTTGTGTGCTATTGGTTACAAAATCTGGCATGCCTTTTATGTGATAGCTTGATGAACACTAGGTTTTGGACAGGACAAACTTGACTTAGTATCAAGAAGACTTAAGGGAGGTGAAAAGGACTTTTTGTACAGGGGGCCAAGCAAGCTGGATAAAAAATAGTGTAAAGCTTCTGCACTGGCCAAACCCCCAGAGCTCAATATACAGTGTTTAAATCAGGGCATGTTGTAAGTATGGCTGCTCTATGCTCTGTGTGTCCAACAGCTCAAAAAGCAAAGTTACAGTTGCCCTAAGACTGTTTTAAATTAAGGCTGATCTACATCTACACGCATTTTCTACCACTAAATAGGCTTAGAAATCAATATATTTAAAGTAGTACAATCTTCCCAGTGTAGGCACAGTAATTCCACATAAAGGTGTTAGTTACTACCATTATATGCACCTTTATGTGGTGTTCAGTAAACTATATCACTCTAAGCATCTCTTTATAGTAGAACTTTGTCCACCCTAGGGAGCTGTAATATATAAACTATAATGTTTCCTAAACCACTAGAGACATTGTAGTTCAAAGTCTGTATAAACCAGCCCTTGCAATCTAAGCTCTTTAATGGTGGGACTTCCTCTAAACATACACAATGTTCAGCACAACAGGATTCTAGTCATCACTGGGCCTTGAAGCAATGAAGTATTATAAATACCATAAATAATAATAATGACAGTGTGTAATTATGTTTTTCCCCACTCAATAATACCATACTCTTCATAAACTTTTCAGGCCCCTATATCCTTCAATCTGTACTTTGTTTCCATATAGCATTAGTCTTCCTTAAAGACTTAAGGCTCCAATATTCTCTAAGTATTTTCTTTGACCACTTTTTTCAGTAAAACATTTGAGTCAAATCCTTCTCTGTGCCATGCAGTGTGCTAGGAGGGAAAAGTATGGGAACCTCTTATGTTGTATGCCAAGAATAAGACAATATCTCTACCCAGTGCTCAGCACAAAGAGAAAGCCCATTTACATACCCATAGTAGGGCCTTCTAAACCTCAAGGGACGTGATCTGTTGGATAGGATGCTTACAGAATATTTAGCTGTGAATAGTATATGTTGTATATGGCACACAGTGTTCATTTACAAAGCAGAAGTAAAGTGCAGCTGGTTGCGAGACCAACCCTTAAGCATTTTGACCTTTTTGCCAGTGATAACATTTGTCAAATAATATTCAAATAACTTACTAAATGAATAATGTGACATTTTAATATACCTGTATGTATATTTTATTCTACTATTTGGCCAGTTTTTAGAACTGACTGAATGTGTGAATAAATTGCTCAATAGGTTGTCATTTTTTCCAAATATTATATGTATATAAAACATTATCCCATGTTTCTAGTCAGCAAAAATGCAGGGGTGTATCTGGCATTATTATGACCTCTTCTCTCTGCCATCATCAGTCAAGGGTTGAATTTCCTTTTTTACCAGTTATACTTCCCGGTGTAATAGCAATTTAACACACCAAGTTGAAAACCTTTTCAGTTCCTGAAGCCAATAAACTTTGTTATTGCTGCATATAGTTAACATTATTTACTCACTCTTTATCAGGCAAAAGAAAACGCTAAAGTAAAAAAAAAAAAAAAAAAAAAGTCTAGGCCTCTGTCCTGCAATCAGACCCATACAGTATACCCCAGTGATTCTCAACCAGGATACGCTGGCACCATGCGATGTTGTGAGATTCTTTTAAGGGTGTCACACAATATTTAGCACTGTTAAATGGGCAAACACCTACACAATTCAAAAGATAAACCCAGAGATTTCTAATAGGAATCCATGGTTTTGTTCTTTGAGTTCTTTACAACAGAGCTGCTTTATTATTTTTCTGTAGCCAAAACGTGTGAAAGTTTAGAGCTGGAATTTTCAGAGAGGTGTCTTGAATCTAAAAAAGTTGAGAATTCATAGTGTGACCCTTGAATCCAATGAGAACTCCATATGTAATCATGGTCTTTGTTACAGGCTGAATGGAAACTCTTTTGCCAATAGATTCCATCTTCAAAATTAGTTCCCAAATCCCAATAGATTCTAGCTTCAAAAGTATGCAATACTAATAACATGAGAAAAACCATGTAGTTTTCAGGTAGACGGGCCTTATTCAGCATTTCAAATCTCAATAGCTTTCCAAAGAAAGCATTTGGGCTTATTTAATCTTTTATTAAAAAAAAAAAAAAGAAGACCTTTTCGCTTTTTAGATTACATCAATGTCCTTAATAGTGTATTTCTCATAATCTCAGAGAGATGCTGCTACTGTATTCAATTTTTGTTCCAATTTTTGAAGCATTCTTTTTTTATTATTCTTTTTTAGTTGAGGCATTTAAGATTGCAGATTTCTAAAATAAATAAATACTATAGGCCTATAAATAACCTGGCTCTTTAACACTCTGTTAATCTTATGTACTGTAAAGTATGTTAAACTGGACATACCATGGCAGAAAACATAAATTTTATGTAAATGGGGATAATATTTTGGTTTTAATTTTTTAAATAGAAAAATATATCTCCTATACTTTCTAGATGAAGAAATTTACCTCATTAAATATATGGAATATATTTAGTAACTCAGTCTATACATGCCAATGTAATACAGATAAATATGGTAATCAACACGATCAAAGTCTGTTGTCATGTTTCCAGTCAACTGTGAGATCTGATGAAATAATGACTATAGAATTTGGGCCTAATAAATATAAACATTAGACCCAATCCGAAACTGTCAGTCCTGCAAATATACTTTACTTATGTGAGTAATCTCTTCAAGTTCAGTCAGATTACCTGTTCTTTTCTAAAACAGGAAAGACGGAAGAATGACACCATTAATATCAAAGGCAAAGCTCACACTGATTTCAACGGAACCATGCTTTCCCCCCAATAAATGTAAAAATAGAGCCATAAAAGTAAATGTTACAGTTATTGAATACAGAGATAATAAAATATAATTGAATTTTACAAACATTGCTTTTCAAAATGCAGTAAATGTTAGTTTACTTCAAATATGTCAAATGAACAGGGTGCTGTATGCCATATAAGACTCACCCACAGAATAAAAAATTGAACTACCACTAGCAAGAGTCTTTTTAATTACAAGAGATCTTAAATACAAAAAAAGTGATTTTGAAAATATTCTTTATATTTCATAGAGGTGGAAGCATGCTCATTTCTTTATCAGAGACCAACATTTGTGTCAGCCCAAAAGAGCTCTCATTTTCCACACAAAAATATACTTTAGCACCAACCTGATTAACTGAAGAGACTGAAACTGCTGCTTGCAAATACACAAACTGAGATGAGACAAATTCTTTTAAAGTATTTTTCACAACTACCAACTGTGGCAATCTGAAGGGAGTCAGGTTGTATTTAAATGATGGGGTATTACTGAAACACACATTTCAAAATCCTTCATCAGCAGAGGGGAAGACATTTTAAAAACCGAAATTGACTTTATCCTAAAGCACCGGTGTCTCCTCCAAGGGACGGGCAGGTTCAACTGTCAGACTTTTTAAAAGACGTTTAAAAACAATGTATTGAAAACCTAACCCTCTAAAACTGTGAAGTGAGCAAGAGCACACGGGGTTCTTGCCAAGGTTGTTAAAAACACTATGAAACAATGTATATTGCCCGTCTTTAAACACTGGCTACACTGTAACCCAAATTAACCCGCAACTTGTTTTTAACGGGCTCTGAAAGTTAGGTGCACTTTTTATAAGCACAAAGAAACCAGCACGCCCTTAATTCGTTAACTCTAGAATATGAGCAGTAGATATATTGTAAACTTTGTTTTAACGTACTTTTACTGTTTCTGAAATTAAACGTAAAAAGAGGCTCAATCGTTTCCTGTTTAATTGCAAAACGCGATTAGATTCCTCCTCTTTGGCTTCCAATCTGGCTGCAGAAAAAGCAGCACAGATGGAAAATTTCAATAAACTGAAAGGACAGTAGCGATTTATAAATTAAGAATGCATTTAAAACAACTAAAACAGAAGGATCAGGATTCCCTGAACAGTAGCTCTACTCCCTTTTTTGAAAGGGGAGTCCCTTCTCACCTTCCATACTGCTGCAGCTAATTCCTCTTGAGCTCCCTGCTCCACGTGCTTGTCCAGGGCTCTGGGATTGTCAAATGCAGCAGGCGGGAGATTCCCAGCCACTGGGGCTTCCGTTCTGGATAGGAGACTGTGACATCAGGCATTTAAAGGGACAGGAACTCATTGTGTGTGTGATTAGAGCGGCGCCGGGTGGTGGTTTGAAGATTTGGTGCAAAACAGTTGCAGCAGCGTAAAGTCTCAGCAACCCCCTTAAAATCCTGTGTGCTCTATTTCAGCCTCTTAGACGGAAATGTTACATATTAGACGTAGCATGTGTTTAATCATCTTATGAATGAATTACCAATACATTCGTTCCATAAGATTAAAATCTACTTAATTTTAGAAACCCAAGCAATGTCACCTGTACAATTAAAATCCGCTACCCACAAGTTCTCCACAAAGGGAGGACATTGTGTGTGTGGGCTGTGCTTTTCAGAGTGAAACTTTAAAAGAGGTGCATTTTGAGGGGAGGTGAAGTGTTGAGTAAGTGACAAATGTTATTATGATTTTTAAAAGGTTCAGGGAATAGGGTCTTATTTGACTCAACTCTTTGAGCTCCTACTGCAGTAAGTAGCAAATCATTCAGGCTGTTTAAAATGCATTGTTATTTGTATATTTTTTTTCTTAGTTCCTGGTGATGTGGGCCTGAGAATTTATTTTTGTGCACAACATTATGACTCAAGCAGTTGTTCTTTTAGAGAAGAAATGGCAATGTGTATTCCAAGGAGTTCCATCATGTGCCTTTGGTAAACCCTCAATTTCATAAAAAGGTGTAGTCTGCAAATACTACAGCCTGTAGCATGAATCTCCCATCTTGACTCAAGAGTATTGTCTTCAAAGACTAGGTCTTTACCTTACAAATAAGACACAGGTGTAATGTGTGTTATTTCATGGAACTTACCATTGTAGCCCTTCATTTTAAGATGAGGTTTGATCACTCCTGTGATCTGGATGAACTTATGGGCCCATAATCTATTACAAAATTTTCCAATTAAAAAAAGTGGTTATAATATTCAGAGCACCTTCCATCTTTTAAGTCCTTTACAAATAGTAATATCCATAGTAGCTCTAAAAAGCCATTTATTGCTGTTTAGTTTGGATCACTCAGGGAACAGTAGCTAAGTAGCACTCAGGGAACAGTAGCTCTGACCTACTGCTGTTAAGAATTTAACAGAAGTAGGTCAGAACTACCTTGTGTTGGTAGGTTTGTGATTATTTTTTACTAGTTTTTTACTATAAGCCTTTGCTTGAATTAGTGTTACTTACACTTGATATGAAAGACTATTTTCTTTTTGAGTTTAATATCCTTTGTGTTATTAATATCCTTTAATAACTTACCCTGATATAATTTACACATCATGTAAATATGTTAACATGTTCTTTCAAAAACTTGCATCAACACTGCTTTCTTTGGAACCCCGAGGTCAGCCTTGCAGGGTAAACTGTGTGAGCCTGAGACAACACTAGACTTCTTTTTTACATTTTCATCTTAATAATCATTATTATGTTTTTAGTGATCATTATCTGTTTTTAGAACAAAACTAAATTGTTCAAAAAAGTTAAAATGACCAAGTAGTCTATGAAAAGCCAGTAAGGATTAACTCTATTAAGAACTTTTCTAAGTAAAGTTAAATAATCTTTTTCTACACTGTAACAACATTATACTCTGAAAGAGCATCCACTACACACATTGTGAGAAAATAAGCACAGGAATTCAAAACACAGTCTTTCATTTGTAAAATAAAAAAGTTTTGTCATTTGTTTAGCTCAGAATTATTTACCAGTAAATGACTTCATAATATAATAGCCTACATATTGACAAAGCCTACATGACAAATCCATGTGTCAGCAACCACCTCCAGCACAAGAACAACCCATCTTATTGCATGGTTTGACAAATATTTTGTATATGCAGCTTTCAAGTTCCGGTAAACCAAAGATCGTATAAAGAGACTCTAAGTAAAGGGAAAAAATGAATACTTTTGGCTGAAGGCTGCATGACAATTTTTGGTATGGAATATATGATCTGGGTATATGACTGAGTTTTATTTTTTTAATTTTGTTGTGTTCTTTAGGATTAACAACGTGTTCTTTTAAAGCCAAGCAATGAAGGGAAAGTATGGTAGTAAGAACTAGACTTACACTGAAGGTATATTATTATTTGATATTTGAAGGAATTTATTAAATTTGTAGTTATATACATCTTAGTCATGCAACCTATTTATGTACAAAAAGTCCTACTGAAGTCAGTATGACTACTCTTATAATGCTTGTAAAATGTAGAAATGGAGGTAATAGTAAATGTAATGGTGATCTGAACAGGGGTTTCTAAAATTATAAAGCCAAACAGCACTGGCTTCAGTTGATACACCTCTGCTATGTGATAACTACCAAACATTGAGATATAACGTTCAGAGTTATTTTTGTGCCATCTTAGACTGGTATCTGACTAATTTTTCTACTCTAATTTCTAATAAGGACTAGCAAGCCCAGAACTTGAAGGGACCTCCTGGGTCATCAGCTCTAGTCCCTTGCTGTTATGGTGCTCCATATCAGATAATCCCTTTCATAAATTGGCCATGTTCTGTTTTAAAAGTTGGACGTTTTTGTACTAACTAAATTTATTGGACAGGTGATCCAGAATCTCACTACTCAGATGCTTAGAAGTCTTCTTATTTCCAGCCTTGTGTTAGTCATGGCCAGTCTTTATCTACTTGTTCCTGTGCCAACCTAGTCCTTCAGCTTAACTATTTCTTTTCCCTCCCTGTCATTTACTTTGATGTATTTATGGAAAGAAGCTGTAACCTCTCTCATCCCTCATTTTTTACTAGGTTGAATGAGCCAAGCTCTTTTAGTCTGCTTTTGTAACATAGGATCTCTATTCCCTTGATTGTCCTGGTGGTCTTCTCTGCACTTGTTTCAGTTTGAATTAATCTTCCTTGAAGGTGGGTGACCAGAATAGTAAGCAGTATTCCAGATAAGGCCTCACTAGAGCAGGGGTTCCCAGACTGTGGTACACATACCCCTGGGGGTGCACAAGACATCTCTGGGGGGGGTACACAGGAGAAATTGTGTAGTGGCAGATTTAATTTTCATTCAAATAATAATTGGTATTTAAGAGGTTAAAATATTAAATGACAGCTGGTAGGGATACACAGGCAGTTGGTAAATCTGGAAGGGGTACACAACAAGAAAAAATTTGGGAACATCTGCACTAGAGGCTTGTACAGCAGAATTAACAGTTCCCTTCCTCTACTAGAAACATCACTTTTGCGACATTTTCCCTTTTTTATTGCGGTATCACATTGATAGCTCATACTCGGCATCATGTAATCAGCTAGTACATCAAGGTCTTTTTCCTCTTCTGTCATTTCTAACTGATGAGCTCCCAGTTTTTGGCAGAAATTCTTGTTATTAGTGCCTGAGTAAAAAATCTTACATTTGTTCTATTTAATTTAATCACATTTTTATTACTCTTGTCTTCAATGCAATTCTTCCTGTATAATATCCCAATTCTCTTGTGTCCCCAACTTTTGCTAAAAACAAAAAAAACCTGTTTTTTATTAAAGCACTGAATGTTGAGAGAACAAAGACATGCAAAGATAGATAGATAGATAAATAGATAGATTATATTCTAATAATAGCTTGCCCATGTAAATTCAAAATTATACTTACGGTTCTTTTAAACATCCCTTGCCACAGATAATCAAGCCCATAGGAAACTGTAGGGGTTACATCATTTCTGTAGGAAAGATGGCTTCTCTGTAATTAAAGAAGGAATGCAATGTCTCTTCAAGGGATTGGGAAGGAACTGTAAATAAGAAAAAGTACATCAACACTTGCAGTCTTTTTCCATGTATATTTATATATTGGATTATCTAAATTAAATTGTTAACTCCTAGAAAGGGCCTTTGGCTTAGTCTGCTCTTTTGTAAATCTCTTTACATATTTCCAGTTCATTATTGTAATGAAGTAACTCACAGGACAAAAGAATGGAATGCACAAATACAGACTGGGTGCATCTACACACGTGCTTTAATGTGCAATCACCTATTTTACTGTGCATTAAAGCATCACGTAAAAACCATGTGATCACGTGAATGTGCAATAAAATAGGCTACTGTTCATTAAACATCTTAAAAACTGTGTGTATTCATTACTGCACATGAGGGCAGCCTAATTTGCATTTGTTTAGTACCTCACATTAAAGGTACTAAATTTAATGCGCGTTTGGAAAAGTGCCTTAATGAACTTGTAGACACGCCCACTGAGGAATGATTGGCTAGGCTGCAGAAAAGGACTTAAAGGTTATAGCGAACCATAAGCTGAATATGAGGCAAAGGTGTGCTCTTGTTACAAAAAAAGACCAGTAGCATACTGAATTGTATTAAGAGGAGTGTCATTTGCAAATTAAAGGAAGTGATTCTCCTGTTCTATTTGGCACTAGTGAGGCCTCACGTGGAGTACTGTGTCCAGTTTTGGGGCACACATTTCAAGAAGGATGTGGGCAAATTGGAAAGAATCCAGTGTAGAGCAACAAAAATGATTAGGGGTCTGGGTGGCAAGACTTATGAGGAAAGACTGAAAGAGCTAGGGTTTAGTCTGGAGAAAAGGACTAAGAAGGGATTGGATAACAGTCTTCAAATACCTGAAGGGTGGTTATAAAGATGGCAGGAATAGATTGCTCTCTGTAACTACAGGGCACAGAACTAGGAGCAAATTACAGCAGGGGAAATTTAGGTTGGATATTAGGAAGACCTTTCTCCTTATGTGGGTAATTAACCATTGGAACAAAAAGAAGCTTTGAGAGACTATGGAATCTCCCTTCTTGGACGTTTTAAGAGCAGATTAGACACACATTTGATTGGGATGGGTTAATTAGGGATGATCCTGCCTTGAGCAGTGGGTTGGACTAGATGGCCTCCAGAGGTCCTATTCTATGATTCTATGATAATGATGGATGAGGATGAGGATTTAAATAGTTAATTGTATTAGAAACCATGTTGAAATTTAGTTTGTTTTTCTTTTGTTAAAACACCTGAGATGGCACCTTTAGCCTGGGAGTCTCTGAATTATAACATGTTTATTGATTCAGTTACTAGCACATATTAGCTGCCTTATCAGAACACAGATTTACTGACTCTAAAATTTGTTCTTTCAACAAAAAGTAAAACACAAAAAGAGAAAAATGAATAAATAAGTGAATTGTACATGGTCCTCTTTTACTTTTTATATTCCATATTAAATAATTGTTCTTCAGTTGACTTTTATTTTGTGTTACATTTTCCAGAACCTTTTCTGTGTATTTGTACAGCATTTAATAAGATTTGGGAGCCCGGTAACACTACCAAAAGCAAATCATATTACAATAGCAATCTTAACCTCCAGAAAATATCTTTTAATTTTTGTTGGTGAAAAAGCCTTTAAATCGTTTTCAAATAATACCGCTCACTAACCTAGTAAGATGACAACGAATCTGCTTCTATCTCAGAAACAGCATGACTTTAAAAGGGATGAGTCATTTGACTAGAATCATTGTCTGTGAGTCTAAGTATGTAGAGATCCACAAAACTGCAGAGAAAGCTTTATAATGGAGAGATTTTTATTTTACAATAATTAACAAGTGGGATAATGAAAGTCTGTGTGGGATAGTCAAATTAAATTTGGGCATAAACATCCTCTGGAACAGAGGAAGTTCAGACTTAGGTATGACTAGTATATAACAGACATAGGTTAGAACTGAATCATTTTGTCTATATGGTATAAGCGTGAAAAGATAACTTTGAGTAAAACTGAAAATATTTGACACAGAGGAACACTGGACCTTCTGGTCCTAATTTTAAACAACTCAGTGTCTCAGAGAAACTAAAACTGAAAACTCCTGACATATTCCTTACAGCTGAGCCAGCCAATTGAGACATAATATGTTGGTCTACTTAAAACTGAGCGTGGGATATTGTGCTCTTACTAAGAGAGATAACTGAAACAATTAAGGCAAGCACATTTAGTAGGGCAGGGAGCTTTGAATAACTTGAAAATGAGAGGGCAAGTGGTTTAAAAACACCAGCATGTTTTAGTAACTGTGTTTTCTGCCTGAACATTTTCATTCCATAATTTAATATTAGCTATAGATTCTCTTTCCTATTTATTTGCTGTTTGTTCATTTTATTTAAAATATTTTAAATTCATAATTTAAATAAAACTTTTCTTCCACATAGGTGGACTGAATTATGCTTGCTATAGTCACATAGGAAAACAGATATCAAGCTTGGTATTGGCAGATCAGATTTTTTCTGTGAAACGATTGCTATTGCCATGTGGTGCAGTAGTGTGGATAGGACATTATTCATTCTATTAATGAAAGTCTCAACCATAATTTCTGAACGGTTATATCATTAGTTCTAGTGCCATCCAATATTCATGCAAAACAAGCCAACATGTCCAGCAATATTTTCAAACGTAGCTACAACGCCTTTTCTAAAAATACTGTATTACCAACCTCAACTTTTCAAAACCCATGAGCCAGATCCCCAAAACCCCTGGGATTGGTTTAAAAATCATAAACTGTTTAAAATAAGAATACCTGTTGGCTTCTAGTTCTTTTTATTTCACGTTAGGTTTTTAGAATACACAGATCAAGCTTTTCTCCCCAAACATGAGTGCTAGAAATTTACTTGAGATCAGGAGGAAAAAAAACCAAACCCAAATGCTTAGAGCCAAGATTCTCATCTAATTGCTGAGGCTTTAGAGAAGCACAAAACACTGCCAGACTTACAATATCTTTATGAAAGTTGGCAAGCATTTCTTAGGGTGATGACTTTTATTGGCAAAATCTGAAACGTGTAGACACGAACCCCTGTAGTGGTGTGCCCGGAAATAGTTTCCAGATGTGCTTCATCCTGCAGGTTCTACCTGTATGAAGCAGGGGCGTGTAGATGATGCGGGTGTTAATGTAGAGCGCCTGAAAATTTGAATGCGGCTTTTTTTTCGGTGTGGTGCATTTGCGTTTGCACGACTGGGTGCTTTCGAGTGAGTTAAACCTTGTGTCATGCCCCACAGATTTCAGTAAGGGGAGTCAAATATTAATTTACCCCCGTAATGTCTTTCCTAATGTATTACAGCAGGAGGTGCATGTAAATCACCCAGCCTCCCTAGTCCCCATCCTCTCACTGGGCAGTCCTGACTCTCACTGGGCACGGTCATGGTCACTCCAAAATCCTTGTCACTTGCACGGTCTGTCTGGTCTCTCTTGATCAGTATGTGATCCCAAAGACCCCATCCCAATCCCAATCCCAAGGGCAAACCGCGTGAATCCTCCCCTCCCATTCCTTTTCCTTCCCACCCCACCATGTTACAGACATAGGATTTTTTTTATTTTATTTTCTATAGCTGCTATGATAACTGCTAGGATATCATAAAACGGGCACATCTTCTCCCTGTATTAAGGCAGGGTTTTTTGGGCACGTTTCTGCTGTGCTCGCAGTTGTTTCTGTCATGCTTTTCTAGCTGTGTGGGAGAACGCTGGCTGGGGCACGGATAGGCAACCCCCACACAGGTGCCAGAGTGCGGCATGCCAACGCGTTTTGATTGGCACGTGTGCTTCTGGGCAAAGGGGCTGCACTGCCACAACAAGGATTGGATCCCTGGTGGCTCCCCTGCCATCTGCCCCCGGCACACCAACATCTTAGGAGTGGACATTACAGGTGTTTGGGGCACTTTGCCCAAAAACGTTGCCTACCCCTGGTCTAGGGAAACGGTTGAGGCTAGTTACATAAAATATCCAAGTAGATTTTGGGATGCAATGTGCCTGCTGGGAGGGGAGGGAGGAGGAGGAGCTGGGAAAGGAGACCCCTCTTCAGTAATTGCAAGCCCGATTTCCACGACGACCGAGAGCGCATCACCTCCCCCTAAGCCCTCTCCCCCCGGGCATCGCGGGGCTCATCCTCCCCTCGGGGGAGAGACACCCCTGCTTGGAGGCGACGGGTGTCTGTCTCACGGGGCGAAACGCAGAGGAAAGGGGCGGGATGGGTAAGCGCTGGCTGCCCGCTCCCTGAGAAGCTAAAAATACAATAAAATAAAAGAAGGGGCGGGCAGGGCGGGCTGAGCCCGCGAAGAAAAGGCGGGGCGCGCGCGGGAAAAGCGCGGGAAGGGCGGTTGGTCCCGCGCTGCGGCGGTTGGAGCCCGGCTGGAGGAGGGGAGGGGAGGGAAGGGGCTGCTTGACCATGTGGGGAGGCTGCTGGGGGCTGCTGGCTGGCGCCCCGCTCGTCTCCGTGGGCGCTTTGTTGCATGCCTTGGTCGCTTTGACCCAAGGTAATGGAGGTGGTAGCGTGTCCCCTGGTTCTTTGTGGGGGAGCCCCAGCCCTGCCTCTCGGGGAGCGCACCCTGCTCTCCCTCAGTCTCTGACCCGTCATACTAGCCCTCACTGTATGAAGACGGGAGGTACCAAGGACGGCAGCCCCTTCCCCCCTGATGTTAAGACCTCCACAAGGAGGAAGGCATGGAGGCTCGCATTTTCTCTGTGAACCAACACCCGCTTCTTTCTTGGCATCCCTCTGGGCAACTGGGGGTCATATAGGACTATTCCTATTTTTCTGCTGGTCCCTAGTAAGGCTCCAGGTCAGAAGCCATTGGCATGTCTGGCCAAAATGTTGGCACTGTGATCTTCCAGCCAGTTTGGGACTCCCTCCTCAGACAAGCCCTCGCACACTTGCAGTTTTTTTTTTATAAAAAGGCAAATAACTCGCTTTCATCCAAGGGGAATGTCCTGCTGTTTGGGGCTCCCCAACCCAAAGGGTGGACCCAAGACTTCACAAGTTCCAGAAAGATCATCTGTTGTGGATCCCATTTCCATGGGCTGGTTCAGGAAACTGGGGCCACCTGCATCATTAGGGTTCACAGATGTATTTCTTGAGCAAGCCTAGTGGCCGGTGGTGATGAGAAATCTACTGAGAAGTGCTTGTTCCTGTACAACCATAGCCAAGATGAATTAATTTGAGGGAGTCACCTTCAAATGTAATGGTCCCAAGGTTGGATGGATTTTCTGGGGTCCTTCATGCTCATTACACAGACGTCATGGAAACATGATCATTTTTACAGAAGAAACTATTTAGAAAATACTTCCGGTCATCATTCGTAACTACTCAGGGCTCTTTGATATTATTCAGGGCTCTTTGGTAAAATAAAAATTGAGTGAGCCTGGATTGTATAAAATCAAAATAGATTCACTAATCTGGCAGTAAACAGGAACACTTTTTTTTTTTTTTTTTTTAAAGAAAAAGGGTAGGAAGCAAGGTAGGAAGAGAGGATCTCCCAGAGTAAAATAAAAGGGTAAATAATTTTAAATTTAGATTTGATTTTTTTAAAAAATATTTTATGTGTTTTCTCTACAGTGGAAGCTGCAAATAATGAAGAACCATATTCTGTTGAATTAATAAAAAAGAATGACATTTATGGCAGCATCGAACATAAAGGTAACTTTGCATATTTTATCATTAAGATTCTAAGAGAGATTTTTAATAGAAAATATCATATGGAGTTCTTCAACACAGTGGTAAACCATATAAACAAATGTATCACGCAAAGAATATCAAGTATTCATTACATAGGAAAGAACTGAATTCTTCAAGCCCATAAAAAAATGGAAAGAACAGAAAAGGAAAAATATATCTTATAAATGACATTATACAAAATAGATCATTGTAACTTTTTTTTGTCAAATTATTCCCAATAATTGGATCAATTCCATTACTCGAACCTGAAAGCTGTCAACAAATTAGAGCCACAATGTCATGGCAGACTTCTATGAACAGAAAGGTCTTTGAATTAAATAATTGCATGGAGCAGTAGTACACGTCCTTATGAATTTTTATATTAAATTAGAAAGGTATTGGAAAAATGCTTTTACTGAGTAATGTATTTAGCCTGTACAGTGAACAGTTTAGGAGAGCGCGTTTGCAGTGCAGATTGTATGTTAAGTAATGCTTGAAATTATATTACCTCCTTTCCAATATGAGATGATTTTATGTGATTCTTTTCCTACATTATTTTAAACTGTAAATAAAGACAAAAATGAGCACAGTCCTGCATGACAACTCAAGAACAATAATGTTGTCTCCATGATGTACAAAACTGTAACACTTTTGCCTGCTGATAGCTGTTCAGAATTTTGGAAAAATTTAATAGCAAAATTAAGGATTCATTTTCTTCTTGCCCTCTGAACAACTCAACTGTATACTAGAAATCTGATATTCTTAGCCTGTCAACTTTTGGCACTGGGACTATATGTTTGGACAGCACCAAGCCAGACTGTGGGCAGTTCTATTGTAAGTAATAAAAATGTCTCAGTGAATGTGTCTACACATGCACTTTAATGTGCATTAGTTTATTTTAGTATGCATTAAAGCATCACAAAAAGGGGTTATTTAGCTAATGTGCATTAAAATAGGCTAATATGCATTAAATGTCACTTAAAAACCATGGAATCCTATACATGTGCATGAAGCCTGCTCCAACACGCTGGAAATCTAGTGTGTTGGATTAATCAAGTCTGCTGGAGCATGAAAGTTGTATATCAGTGCCCCAGTGCATTTTCAATGCATCCTTGCACTGAAAAAATGGTGGTGGGGTGCTTTGAACTAAAACACGTTCTATGAGCTTTAGTTCAAAGCACCCCACTGCCATTTTTTCAGCATGAGGACACTGATACGCATGGCACCTGGGCACTTTTGATTAGTGTGGCTTGCTAATTAAAGCTCCTGGTGCTGCGTCCCCAGAGATATGGGTTTCCTGGAAAATTTTGAATTGGCAAATTTTCTGGAAAATTTTCCATAACATTTTCTAATGCCCTAAATAGAGCGTGATTTGATTTAGCATGTTTATTTGACTTATGTTTAGTAAACAAAACTAAAAAAAGTACCTTCATGTTAATTTTATGTCCCAATAGCCACAAGTATTTGAACTGAAATATTTGATTAGGAAAAAAATTAAATATAGCACACTTGATGTGGTTTAAATGTTACATTCAAACAAATTCAAAGCTTTATGTGGAAAGAAATTATATTTATTGGAATAAAATGTACTTGAAAAAATGTAAAGACAGTACACAATAGCATGTACTTCCCTTACATTGTTTGTTTAAATTTAAGGGAAAAAAACAAAGGCACTGAAAACTGTTGACATACTAATTTTAGCGCACACAAAGAACTGTGCATGATATGCTGTGCTTTGGTTTTGATTTGACCTGCACAGCCAATTGGGTGAATTCATAACTTGATTTTTGGTTTGGATTATTATGTGAGTGCTTTTACCCTCCTGTTAACGAATCTATAAAACATATATGTACTCTCTCACACAATTCCTAGGGATAATCACCTGAAAAACATTAACTGCAACTTTGAAACTGCCAAGCTTGCCTAATACTGTATTGGCATCCATTCATTGTTGCTTATGAATTTTATGAAATAATGAATTTTTAGAAATGGAAAATTTCCCACAGAAAAATTAAGCACTGGAAAAGTTTCCAGAAAAATTTTCGGCCCACATCTCCACGCGTCCCACAATCTGTGTACAAATGCCCCATGCTCTTTAGTTAATGCAGCTTAAGACAGGATAATGCCCATTTTCCTTGTACCTCACAATGGAGGTACTAGATTTAATGTGCATTGACTGAAGCGCGTTAATGTATGTGTAGATGTGCCCAGTTAGATCCACATCTGATCCCTGTAGTGGAGGAAAAATAATTAAAAGGCAATCCAAAATTAACCTGCTACTCAAGTAATCATTTATGTTAGACCTCAAGAAGTAAAGTACTTTGGAATGAATACTAAGTAATTTAGTTCAAGTGCAATATTATTGCTTATTTAATTTCATTTTCTTGTATTGCAGTTGATGTTTACGTAAAAGTGTATACAAATAGTCCATTTCTAGTATGCATGGATTTAGCACTTTCTCAAAAAGAACTTGTAGATCCCAAATACTTGTGGATTGGTCCAAATGGAAAGAATCTAGAAGGTCAGTTGTCCTTATTACCGTGTATTTCTAGTCTAGACTTGGCTGTTTTTTCCCACAACCCAGGGTTGGACAACCTGCAGCATGTCTGCCGCAAATGGCACAGGTAGCCACTGTATGTGGCACATGGGAGGGGACAAGTAGCATAGTGGCAGACAGGGCAGGAATCAGAGGACCAGATGGGGCAGGGAGCATGGGGAAGAACACAGGAAACAGAGCAGCAGATTGGGTAGAGAACATAGGGCAAGAAGCAGAAAAAGCAGCAGATGGGGCAAGAGAAGGGGGTTGGAGTGACACTGGCAGGGGGGGAATGCAGGGCTAATTTGTGGCATGCCTGCCCAAACAGTTGGCCACCACTGCTATAACCCATTCAATCAGATTTTTATAGCACCATATCACCTAATTAGAAGCATTCAATATCTGCTTAGAGGGGAATGGGAAAATTCTGCTGAGCTAGCTTCCCTTTTTCTATTTCACCCCTGTTTTCCATTAGGATAATGATGTGTGGTAATTGGAATTTGTTTTGAAGCCTTTCTTGATTTTTAGAAAGAGGGGAGTTAATTCTTTTAACATAACTGACACAGATTTACAAAGTAAATTAAGGAAACAAAATCTAGGGACTGAATATTCAATTAGGCCCTCCTGAAGAAATGGGAGGCACTGTATAAAAAACACTGCCTAGTAACTACAGAAAGAGGCTTTGGAGAAGTTAGAGCAATTCGGGCTTTCTATTCTGTGGGCACATCTACACGTGCAATTAATGTGTCTGAATTTCCTGCAGAGAAAATTCAGGTGCTTTAAACTGCCCAGGCATGATTTTGAACGTGTGCCTGTCAGGAGCAAATTTGGTCTACACATACACTTCAAGTCTACGTGTGCACTTCCGTGCATTAGTTAACGCGCTGTTTTTCTAGTACCTGTATGTATTGGTACTAGCATAGGCAACGTGTA